AGTTTATGATTTGCTTTTAAAATGGGGAATTAAAAACTCATACACAAAGTAAAACTATCATAATCTATAATAATACTTAATCACCATCATGCAATATTATCTCTGTATTTTAAGATATTTACTTTGTTTTAACATTTCTTTGAAAATGTTACTCATTTCATTATAGTTATTATAGCATTTTTATGCTTAATATTTATACAGAAACATTTCTATTTTAATTAGAACTGCAGTTTATTTTAGTGCTTTGTAATTTATGGGGTTTTTAGAAAAGCAGAATATATAAATTTCATCATCATCATCAATGTTTCTTATCTGCAATCTTTGGATATTTTATTTTATTTCTGCAGCAAGTACTTCTGCCTCTTCCTTATCCTTTTCTTCTCTCCTTCTTTTACATAGTGATAAAATACAATTCTTTATTAGGAAAAGGCAGAAGCAGTAAATCGATTTCTGCCAGATCACAAAATCTTAAATAGTAAGGCGGCTGATAAATGGGACAATCTGCATTTATTGTAGGAACAGGACTTGCAGTACAAAATTAATGTTCATACCTGAGAGAAATATTTCCCATGAATTAATGATATTTCAAATTTCCTTTACTGTTTAAGTTGCTCATTGGAAAAAAAATATACGTCTCTAAAGGCCAGTTTTAAATTTGGAATTTTGTCACCCACAATATGTGAGAAATGAGTACACATTCCTCTTTGAGCTCAAAAAAATGTCATTTTTAGACCTGTTCTGCGAAGTGCCCCCTTGAAATTTAATCTCCTAATCTTTCTCTCTCAGTCTAAGTCTAGACAATAAACATAGTGCAAAAGTCCTCTTAGACTGCATCTTAAAGCTGGAATGAATTAATATAGTCTCCAAGACAGTCTACAACTCAAACCTACTTACATACAGGGTTAAGGGATTTTAGGCTACTGAATAGGCGAACTTGCCATTGTTAACTCACTGCAGCCAACTTACCATGGCCAATTTGCTGCAGGAAAACTTGCCACAGGACAATTACATATATTCAAAGGTTAAATTAGTTTCAACTGTGTCCAGAAATAATAAAATAAAGGAAATCAATCTAGAAGTACAAGAATTACAATAATTTTAACAAAAATATGGTCATCAATAATAAAAGTAACTAAATGAAATGATTAATACAGCACTGAATTGTCCTGTGGCGAATTGTTCCACAGTGAGTTGGCCATGACAATTTGTCCCATGGTGAATTGGGGGGTAATATTTACATAGAGGTGCACATTTACATAGAGGTGCATGTTCCATAACAGAATGCATTTTTGTAAATTAATAAATGTATGAACTCTTCCTTTACCACCCTTTAGATAGCTAAAACCAATAGACTTGGGCTGCAAAATAGAATAGAATAGAATAGAATAGAATAGAATAGAATAGAATAGAATAGAATAGAAT